TTGAAAATAAGTGTGTAGTGGTTAAAATGTATACGTTGCCATTTACGTACAGCTCACTTCACCTCGCCTAGCACACTCGCGTGCTCGCAGTTTTCCCGCCACGTCGACTACGTGCTACTAGAGGAAAGAATAAAATTGACGTGGATTCCCGGCCATGCCGGTATCAATGGAAACGAGTTCGCAGATAAAGCAGCCAAATAAGCAACGAAAGCTCCAGTTTTTACTTTCATGGCATTCTCAAGCAAAGCTGTGGCGATATTAATATCCAAAACTGCGTATCAACGATGTGCCATTAAGTGGGCAAATTACTCCCACATATACAAGTCACACAATCCAAATAGAACTGCCATCCGGCTTCCTATGACGACAACAACCATGAATAAATGCTTCATCCGCCTAAGACTAGGTCACACTAGCCTAACTCACGCCAATTTATTGAAAAACAAGTCTCAGCCAACATGTCAATTTTGCCGCAATGCCTCCTTAACCATCCCCCATATTCTCAAAGACTGCCCGCTACTTACAGATTCCATATATTCCTTCTTCCCGACCCCGAACCCTTTAGAATTGCTTACTTATCCGAATGAGAAAAATATTAAACTGATGTTTGAGTTTTGAAAAAAAATCGGTATTGATAAATTATTATAATCCGTCACAACGCATACACTTACATACAAGAATTGCGCCGATCAGAGAGGATTTTTGAGAATAACTTTTGTGTGACGTCACACTGGTGCAATTGCGAGAGAGAAATGCCAAAACGTGAGCAAGAATGGAAGAAGAAGAAAAAATGTTGCAAGGAAAACGTAAACAAGTTGCACCAGTGTGACGTCATGCAAACAACGATTCTGTCAAATTCGTTAAGAGAGGAATAGCGGTCCGAGATCGGCGCAACCTTTGTATTCTCTCAATCGTGACTTACATATGTACATCTGAAGCCGATAGCCCTGGCAGCAAGTGCTTAATTGATTATAATTTTAATTGTAATTAATTTAAATATATAAATAAATAAAATAATGTAAAGAAGCGGTGTCGGGTAACGAAAAGGAAGTATTGGGTACCGAAACCTTTTTTAAGTATTAGGAACCGAGTATTGGGTACCGACAATTCAGCACATCACTTGTCAAAAATCATCAAAATTGAAAGCCATTACTGGCCATCTCCACAGGATAAAATTTATTGCTGCCCAGCTGTCATTTACGTAGGCTGAATTCAATTTGAGAAGCACTTTTATTATCAACATGTCGCGTTCAAGAAAACAATGTAACTAACTAGCTTCTGAAGAATATTTTCCATTTTAATTCCATTGTATATTAACATTTTAACATGCATAAGCTTAGTATTTTTTTGTTTTCACAAAATCCGCATACCAATGCTGAGAAGCTGATCAAAATTGAAAGCAAAATTGGAACTCAGTTGAAAGGGAACAATTGAAAGCAAGTTGCCCATTCAAGCAATAGATAATAGTGTGTTATACTGGCTACACACGACGAACATCTGCGCGGACATATGCGCCAACATGCTCGCTGTCGTTTGTCACAGACGGTGAGCGGCTCATATGTGATTTTGTCATGGTAGCGTAATGATGATTAGCAAAGACGCGGATGATGCAATTGCAATGCTTTTAACTTAACTTTTATATGTACGTGTTACTTAAATTTATTTATATTTTACTTGTATGTATGTACATACATATACTTATAGTAATTTAGCCTAATTTATCATAAGTTCATAACGTACATGGCTTGGCTGCACTTATCCGTCGATGTGACAATGCAAGCATCACCACAAATTAAGTTGTTTTTGTTTCCAATGCGATGCTCGCAAACCACGCTACAAACGACGAGCCTGCTCGCTGAAAATCTACATTTTTTGCTTGAGACACAATACCCGGCGAATGGCAAATTTCGCCCAGCAGAGCGATGCCGACGACCAACTTTCGCCCAGCTAATTCGCTTACTGAAACACAAATAGAGCGGTATCGAGCGGTTCGAATGCTGTCAGCTGTTCGCCGTTGTTGTGCTTCAGCTTTAATGATTTTTTGCGAGCATGCTCGTGAACCGCCCTACAATCGACGAACATGCACCGCAAGCCGAGCATGTGCCGCACATGTTCGTCGTGTGTAGCCACTGTAAGGGAAGACCCCTACTATGTTTTTTAGATTTGTGCTGAGTCAATACTTTTAAGTATTGATCGATATTCGGTACCGATTTAAAAAGTATCCTCGGTACCGAAACATTTAGGACTCGAATAAAAGCGCACATAGGTAAAAAATATGGAAAAAACGGTTCAGGGGAGACTCGCCTATCGAAATCTGAATGTAGGAGCCAATAGAGCTTTTACTATTGATTCAATGAAAGATGTATATATATATATATGTCGGTTCGAGGCCATAATGCAGAGAAACTCTTACTTGGTTGAAGCATTTTTGTTCCAGCTGAATCGGACGATATCATTTTTGTAGGCCTGGGTCAGATTTTGTAACCAGTTATGGTGTTCTGACACGATTTGTATTTGCATTTATACATGCCACTTTTTACATATGGAAATGCCAGCATATCGTGTAAAGGCAAATTAGATTTGTTTCTGTACAAAGCAGATGCACGTACATACGAAATAGAATTGTTTCTATTTTCATCTGACACACAGATAGAATCATTTGAGTTTAGTTTATTTCGTTTTCAAAGAGCGTGTTTTTAAATAGTTAAACAAAGACTGTGATTTTGACAGACATACGCAATTACATATGTATTGAAAAAGTCGCATTTGCAGATGCAAATACATGTAGTGTAAGGACACCTTTAGCGGTTTCGGGTTCCGAAAAGGAAGTATCTTTTTTAAGTATTGGGTACCGACAATTCACCACAATTATAGTGTTTTTCTGTAGCGTCGCCAAACTGCGCCGGTACCAGTTTTGGATGCATCGAAGCCACAGTATAGACAGTAACCAACCTTTTTGGGTTGTTGTTGTAGTAGT